CACGGAGTATCTCTAGAGGGTGGACGCACTATGTCATACTCACCTCTCCCCACTCCGGTATGCTCTAGATGAGGACGACGATGATGCTGATGAGCAACTGCTGTCACTACTGTCACTAGACACAGACCGGACAGAACGGGGACTATCGTCTCCGCTGCCCAACGGTGGACTCGTAGCCGACATACCCTCACCAACAGTTACCTCAGAATGGCAAAATTGATCGATTTCAACACAACCAGCAATGATCAGTATTTAAACGCTTGATGCGAATCTCGCAGTGCGAGAAGAAATCTCTCAACCTTCCACTGCTGTTGTATCAAATCAGCTTCACACGACGAACAAGAGTATGGCGCTGTACACACCAATCACAGGGTGGTGGTGATGATGATCATCATCATACACCATTATAACTACTTATCGGAGGTTAGCAGGAAGCTCGGCAGGAACTGACAATCGAAAATGAGACAATCAACAAACTACAACTGCGTTTTCCGTTACCTGGTGGGCATTTGCCGTACCACGCCAACTTGCCGGGGCTTGAATAACGAGGATATGCACAGTGACCGAACCTAACAACAGACAATATGAGATAAGTACAAACCACTACAACACTTACACTTCAACCTTCTTATTGGCTGCTCTAGGGAAGATCCAATAGGTGAGGATCCAAGGCATCCTCTCATCGAAGAAAGCCTTCTCCTCATCATTCATGTTGTAACTAATAGAAGCCGACTATAGCCAAAGCAACACTGGTAGAGGTACTCCACTTACATCATGAAGACGAGACTCTCAGTTCTGTCCATGTTATCCTGGATCATATCGTGGACGCGGGCGGATAGGTCACGAACTTCCTTCTGGGTAGCTGATTAATAGAACATCAATATCATAGGACAACCCTTTCGACGTACCATGTTCCCTAAAGGCTTCCGGAACTAGTATCCTCTCCTCTCTCGCAAGATGCCCATTAACAAGGTCGCACATCATTCCTGCTATAGTGCCACCTAGGAGGAGGAGGACGAAAGTAACCAGATGATTTCAATTTATCCGCCGTTTAGTATACTTACAGGTTTTCTGCGCCTCATCGAGCTTATTTTTTTTCAGATCCTTTTCCAAATTGTCCAATAATTTCGATACCTACAACAACCCTCACGATTCATCCACAACGACCTAACAACACGAAGCTAACCTCCTCATGATCATGTCCCTCCTGTTCCAAGGCGCTCGGCTCCTTTAGATGCTTCCTGTAGAATGGGAAGATCTGTTCGTCCTCTTGGAGATGATGGACCAATAAGAATTTAGCCGTCATGTCGATAAACCTAAACACGAATACG